CAATACCTATATATATATATACATATATATATATATATATATTTATACATACATATATATATATATATTTATAGTTATATATGTTTATTAGTACATATATATATATATATCTATACGTTTTGGAGCCCTGTCTGCCTGTCTGTCTGCCTGTCTATCAGGGCTTCCGTCTGTCTGTCTGTCAGTCTGTCTGTCGCTGCCTCCATCTAGTCGTATTGCGTATGACTGTTGCCAAAGCGTGTTCCGAACATCTGGGTTTGCATGAGTAGAAGCGAAAGGCGATGACACTCATCCTGTTTTGCACCAACCCGCTTTCGTCAGCAAGACGTGGATGTATTAGGAACGGGTTTCAGTCATTCTACAGCCCAGCCTCCCTCCCCTCCGTCACTCCCTCTTGCCGTCAACAGCACGCCTTATTCCTCTGGCTTTGGACACGACGCACCCTGAGTCTGCCTCGGGGCCACGTTTGGCTGCGCCCGCACATTGAAGGCTGACGAAAGTTATCGAGCCAAACCGTTGAAGAAGGTTGCCTTTTCTTGAAGCTTGACTTCGAATCGGACCCGATGCCCGAGTTCGGGCTATTGCCCACACAGTTCGATCCTGGCCTGAGCTCAGTTCAATCCTCTAAAACTGTCGCCTATCATGCATTGTTCGCCGTACCTTGAAAGAGTGGTTGCTCAACTTCTCTCGCTGCCGGCACTGCGCCGGTCGTCGCTTCGCTGTGTTGCCCTGCATGTATTTGGCTTCGGTTCTATGGAGAACTTTCTCTGTCTTCACACCGTTTCTGGGTTTTTGTCGTCGCCGGGTCGAGTTTCGTTTCATCAGGGCTTACATAGACTCAGCTGGTGAGGCTCTGGTGCAGAGGAATGACAGCACCGACAGCACGGACAACAGCAAGGTGGACAATGGTAAAGGGAACGCCGCCTGCCTGCGAAGCCTAGCATCGTGTGAGAGGTTGACATTGAACTGAAGTCGGAAGGTATCAGCAGCACCGCATTAGCAGCAGCATGAACGACAAGTGCAGCAATTCACAGCCACTCGACCGCGACGACGACGACGACGACGACGACCCTGCTTGAAAACAAGAACCAATGAATGGCTCCTTAGTCACCTGAGGCTCAATGAGCATCGCAGCTTGCCTCGGCAGAGGCACGGCTGTTCCTTCCCGATGCTTCCCTGTGAAGGGTTTCGGGTTAAGAGGTTTAGAGCGGTTTAGAGCGGTTTAGAGCGGTTTAGGTAGCTTGTCAGCACTGCAAGCAGCGCTGACGCGGCAGCACACTACGTGCTGCTCAGTCCTGGGTTTTGGAGCTCTGGACGGCGTGCAGCTCAAGCAGGTGCAGGCTTGGATCATGTTGGCTTATTCCTGCTATGCCGTTTTTTTGACCTGAGCTACACAGCTTCTTTCCCTGCATGGCGAGATTTAGGGCAAGAGCTGCACGCTCTAAGAGGTAGCCCCGTGCCACCATGCCGGAAGCAGTGGTGCCGGAGTTGAGGCGTGAAGCTGCGCCAAGCGCCCGGGCAGGGAAAACACGACAGCACCTCACGAACTGAGCGTCGAGTCCGACAAACAAAAACCATGCGCCGCGGCTTTGCTGCATGGACTGCCAGTCAGTCAGACTTGCTGTGGATCAATCTTCAAATCGACGATTGTGTCTCCCTGCCTTGGCTGATGATTTATTGTTTGTATAGTCTCTTTTAAATAGCACCGCTTCCTCCGACAAGGGCGGACGTGAAGCTAGGTCTTTAAAGCACATGTGCAAATGCACAGTAAAATGAGAGCATCGGAGTTGGCCAGAAGCTTCTGCGTTCGTTGAGAAGGCTTGCGCAGAATTTTGACCTCGTGAAGGCTCAAGGTCATGGGGTACAGCGCAAAGAGAGATGTGGAAGTGTGAGGGTTGAGAGCGGTGCGAAGACGATCGAACAGCGCACGGTGGAGCACTTGTATGGACATCCAAGTTTATAGAGATTCGCATGGGATGCTCGGCGTCCTGGCGAGATGAAAAAAGTCTTCGGCGCCTTGGCGCTGTGCAGCGTCTTCCTCTTCTTCCGCAGAGACTTCTGGCCGGGAGCCGAGCTCCTTGTGTGTGTATAATACATACATATATATATATACACACACATATATATATATACATATATATTATTATTTATAAAAAACAAGAATAAATAAATAAATGCATAAATAAATAAATAAATATAAATATAAATAAATATATGTATATATATATATAGCTAGAGAGAGAGAGAGAGAGATAGATAGATAGATAGATAGATAGATAGATATAGATATAGATATAGATATAGATATAGATATAGATATATAGATATATAGTGTCGTCGTTTTGAGTCACTTTCTCTGTCTCAGGTCGGGCGCTGTTGAGGCGGACGTGGCCCCAGCCAAGGTGGCCTCCGCGAAGCTTTCGGAGACGCTGAAGGTGGAGGAGCAGAAAAGGCCCAGCTGGGCCAAAGAATGGGCCCCGTGCTTTCTGCAAAGTGGCAGCACGCAAGGCGCAAATACGCGTTTCTCCACACGTCCAAGACCTCCAGAAGATCCTTTTGCGAAGCGGCCGCCCTCCTGCAAGATTTCGGTTCCTAAGCCCGACAGGGGAACGACGTCCCTCCACTGTCCGACCATGTTGTCTCCGAGAAAAATGTTCGAGTATGCAGTATGCATTCCATGGTTTTGACTTTGACTGTGGTCGACCTCTGCGACATGCTAAGCCCGGCTGAACACTCGTCGGACCCATCGTTTATGCGGCGACACGAAATCCCGGGGTTGAAGCTCTTGGAACGCAGTGTTGCCAGAGTCCAGAGATTGCGTTGCTGAGAGTATGTATATCGTATGTACATATATATGTATGTATGTATGAATGTATGTATGTAAATATATATATATATAGATATAGATAGATAGATAGATAGATAGATAGATAGATAGATATATATATATATAGAGTGATTTGTGACTTTTTGCTTAGGGCAGTCCACACCTATCAAGAGCACTCCCCCCGCTTCATGTCCTGTCTTTGGATTCTGGACTACTGAGCTCAGGAGGGCTGGGATTTGGAGTGGTCGGACGAATTCAGTGGCGATAGCTTGAACTTGCCGCCGAGACGCAGCCAGAGCAAAGACCTGCAACGACGTTGCCAGAATCAGAATCACGGCTGGCGGTGTCTAAGGACGTCCTGGGAGCTTGTCTCCAGTCGCTGGCCTGCACGCAGCTTGCAAACTGCAAGTACCTCAGCCGCTCAGCTGTGAAGGCAAAGGCGGCTATGATAACATCGATCTGCCGGTTGGAGGCCGCCGGGAATTTTCTTTCTCAATGCAGACCGAAGGAATCTGAAGGAAACCGCACTTTGCAGTATACAGCTGTGAAAAAACCATGCAAGGCCTGAATGTCACAGCTTGCCGCTGCGCTGCATGCCGCCGGGAGAATGCCGTGGTGGAGGATGGCAAGCTTCGAATAATTTCCGAGCGGGACCCGGAGGACAACACCAGGCGCAAGCTTTTTTTGCAGAGGTGCGAAGAAGTGTTTTCTCAGCACGAACGGAAGCAGACTTGTTGATCGGACGCGCCCGCAGTCGACGAACTGAAGCAACGAAGTAGCGATGGAGTAGCCTTGCCCCAAGCTGCATCGAGTCCGGGCCCCATCGAAGGTATTACTCGGCTGCTCTTTCCACAAAGGCCGGGGAAGTTTGGAAAGGCCTTGAGGATGGTTTCCACAACGTGTCGTCAGGGCCGCCTGTCCTGGACGACCGACAACGGGCCCTTTCGTGTCTGTATCCGCGCCAAGCTACCGCTCAATACCCGAGGCAGATGGAAGGGTTTTTGGGTCTGCGAGAGAGTGTGCACTGGTATAAAAGCACCCGAGAGGTGTTTGGCCGGCGCACTGGATGCTTCCTGAGAACGGCCTCTCTGCCACGTCCTCAAGTTTGTGAAAGCTCACGCGGTGACCCAGTGCTGCAAGATTCTGGCTTTGCTGAAACGGAGGACAAATGTCTCGATGAAGGCGAGATGGACATCCTGGAGATGGTAAGTGGTGACGGCAAGGCCGAGCGGCAGCGACCTTCAGAGAGAGAGAGAGAGAGGGAGAGCAGCGAGAGCGCGGAGAGAAATCCGGACCATATTCTGACTCGCACTAAACAGTATACTGACGAGAAATGCCTCCTCAAAACTTGCAAGTCGGTACCAATCTTCTTCTGAGGCGTACCATGCGTACCACTGGATGTCCAGCTGGCCTGGAAGCCATTGCGCCGATTTCGAGACCTTCCATCGCTCGGTCTCCTCAAGCATGATCGTGCGGGAGTACAGCACCGAGTTCCATGAGTATGCCGTTGAAAGGCGGGCCTTGTTCTGGTGACGGGCCCTTGACCGTCTTTGTGTCTTCTCAGCTTAGGACCCCCGATGGCATCCGATATGCCATCGACGGCGTGCCGACTGGAATCTCCCTCGGATATTTCACTTTCTGAATGGTTTGATGCACGCCAAAAGCATTGTGTCATCAACGGGCCAGGAAGTTATCGGGCTGTGGAGCGCGGCTTTACGCTCTCGTCTGCGCCGTGGTTCCTCATCCTGAACACAGCGACGCTTGGAAGTTCAGGTTGATGTTAAAATCGGCTCTTCAGTATTTTGAACATCCAGGCGTGTCGCAAAGAGTCTGCCCCAGAGGTGAGGTCAGCCCGGGGAGTCGAGCAGGTCAGGCCAGCGGCCAGCCTGAATCTCGCAGACTTCCCAAAAAAGGGCAGAGGAACAAACAAACCTTTGTAATCCTTCACCATAGCTCCTCATGTGCTGTCGTCACGGCAACCAGATGCAGTCTTTCTACGCCTGCAGCCCTGGGCAAGCATCCACACGGTGACCGCAGTGGCCATTTTGCAGGTCGGAGGCTTGTCTGCTCCAAGCACAGTGCCGCCCTGTCAAGGATTGGAGGTGGATGGCCGGGGTATCCGGCGCCTGAGGTGACCTCTATGCCCGCTCTGAGCTTATGACTTTTCACGCTGTGCGATTGCAGCCGTAGCTTATTGCTTGTGGCTGCGCAACCTTTCTCCCAAGCCCGACAGCCGAGGTGGAGCACGTGATCGACTGGGTCCGTGTTGTGCGGCGACGTAGCTGAGAGCTCTAGAGGAGCCAGTTTCACCTCAAGCCGAAGGTCACAAAGGACGTAGGGACGACACAAGCTTGTCTTCAGCCGCGGTTGCAGCAAAGGCCACGTTGGCCAATCCTAGGGTTGCAGATCCTGTGCAGTCGCTTAGGTCTGCACAAGCCTCCAAGACCTGCCCAGACGCGCTCTAGCCTATGCAGCTGGGGTGCTGTTGCGTCTGGAGCTTTGCGAGCTGCAGATCTGGCCGTTGCTGAACGTAAAGGTATTCTTTCCAAGCTGACAGGGTGTGGGTGGGTGGTCAGTGGTTAAACTCGCCGACTCTTGGTTGGGTTGAAAGAGACGGCTTGTTACTTGGTCTTCCTCCATGCTTGCAGTTGCCTGCCTGGGCTTGCGATACAGGAGCCTTCATTTCTTTTCGCAGTGTTAGACCGCCGCCCAGCGTTTGGGCTCAAAGCACACATCAGTTTCTACGGCACTCGAAGACACAACGGCTGCGATGTCCAGCTCCGTGCCAGCGGGCTTTCTGTTCGACTGGAAGAACAGTCTGGCCTCAGCCACCCGTCAGCACATTTTTGCGGGTGGTGGCCGTGTTTTGCATATTGCACATGGACGTGAGCACGCGAACAAGGTGAAGAACACCTTTATTCATGTGGACGATGGCGAGCTTGTGTCTCGCCTTGAACAACCTCCCAGAGTGGTGAAAATGCAATTCACCTGAGCACAGACAGCCTTGGAAGGAATGGTGGGATCCCACCTGCCGACTCCGACGCACCACAAGCTGCCCAGGTCGCCTCCAGGCGACATGCAATCCTTCGCGACTGTGCGGAGCAGACATGGTAAGGAGTAGTCGATTGGCACGTACCTGTAGCAGTAGTCGTAGTGGTGGTAGTGGCGGTGGCGGTGGCGGAAGGCATAGCCTTGCACTGCCTGCTGCAACAGGCATGAAACTTGACACAGGTATATGAGCAGGCCCATATCGTCGTGGAGGCCCAGCAGGAGAGTCCAAAAGCTCCCAGGCTCGAGCCTGTGCCAGCCTCGGGCGTTTCATCTCCTGGAACTTCAAGTTCACTGTCGAAGTACCCATCTGATGCATGGGTTCCCCTTTCAGCACCAGGTGCTGCTTCTGAAGACTGGCTTGTGGGAAGACTCCACTGATGTGGAGGCCTGGGCCGGGGCACATTTTTAAACTCTCAACCAGCACCGGGGGTTCCGGCACTCAGGGCTCCGGGGTTTCTGCTTCCCGGCCAGGAAAGATCGGCATCAAAGGCCAAGAGCTCAGAGCCGCATACTACGGGTAGTTGCGAGGTCGTTTTGGGGGAGCCCCAGCCAGGAACACTCAATTGAGCCCCAATCTCCCCCGAGGACTCCACGCCCATCGACGAATCTTCGATGTTGGAGCGGAACCTGCTCTTGCACCAGCTCGGTGAAGGGCCTATTTGCTTCAGAGCAGTGCTACAGCAGTGACGGTGCCAAATTCAACGCATACAAGACCTATAGGCAACTGCAAGCCATGCTCCTACTACTACTTCAAGGAGGACCTTCAGTTTCCGCCTTCAGCTGCCTTAGCTAAGTTTTCCCAGCGAGCATCGGCAGGATGGTTGTCGAAATGGCGATAGTTGTGAGTTCTGCCACTTCTGCTCTCCAGCAGCCGTGAAAGAGAGCCCCTCGGCATGAACACGGATCTCGATATGATATATTATAATATACTATAATATAGTATAGTATAATATGATATAGTATGATATAATATNNTATAAAATAATATAACATAGTATAATTTTATAGAATAGAATGGAGTATAACATAACGTAATAGAATACAACAGAATAGAATAGACAAGAAAATAATATAGTAGTGTTCTGGCTTCAAGTCCTTCGGCAACATGCCTTTTGGTTCCCCCTCATTGCCCCCCCCCCCCCCCCCCCGCCTGTGGCAATCGGCAAGGCAAGCGACGTT